ATGCTTTGGTAAAGAAAGTTGTGCCATCTGCTGCATGGACTTACTGTATGAATCACAGAGAAAAACATGCACCTAGAACACTGTCTGGAGCTAGGAGTTTTGCAGCAAATTTCTTCTATTGTGACCTACTTTGGATTCAGATTGTTTGTCCAGCTCCATTTGCATAATTGTGTGAAGAAAAGGAGTCAGATCATAATGTGTTGCTCTTCCACACTGAAGCTCATTGGCTCACAAGAGGAAAAATACTGGAACTATATTTTGATCTGAGAATTGAGCTGCATGATTATGCAATGGACTGCAAGGAATGAATTTGCTGATTTCCTACATGATCAAAGAAGGATGTGACTTCTTGCCTCTGTCAAAGAAGTATTTGGGAAACAGAATAAATTGAATACATGTCTACAAGGAAAGTATACTCACATCCTTCCCTTGAGTGATCAAATCACAGGATTCATAAAGAAAATTGTTCTCTAAAAGAATGATCTATTGAAGACAAATTATGAATATGCAGCATGCAGGAGATCAGAGCAGATGAGCATGATGGTTCCTTTGACCTTAAAGTCTATACATCTTTCCCTGAGCCTTGCAAGTTCCTGACTAATGGTGACATTTTTCAACCTCCCACATAGGTGGTGATTGAGCATCTCAGCCAGTGGGAGGAACTCTTTACATCCTTTTTCTTTAACTTGGAGACATCAAAGTAGGATGAGGTGCCCAACCCATTTCAGTGCCAGCCTAATGTTATGCATTTGCCAGCAGTTGCCATTGAACAGTTCATTGAAATTTCCTGCAATTGATTCTTGGCAGGAACATATACCCACTTTTATTTTTCAGAGCTCTGGTTCATTGCCAAGAAAGAATATCCTGCACTCTCAACACATGCTTTGAAACTCGGGGTTCTATTTGCACGTGTGTGAAGCTGGATTTAGTGCACTTACATCCAGCAAGTCTCAGTATCAATCTACTGCTGCTGTCACATCAGAGATTAGATGGGCAATTTCTATCCCCCGCTAGACTTTGAGAAGCTGGGTGACAATGCTCCAACACAGATCAGAGAATATTTAATAATATACTTAATATGTAAATTCCTTGGATTCCTCAGTCACTACATTGCTTTGCTAGGATCACAGGAAACCATAGGTCTCAAAATGCAGGCAGGCAGGCAAAAAGTTTCAGAACCCTTGGATTAATACCATAGGTTTGTGGCAGATGATATGGTAGTAGGCATGTAAGCAATTTCCTAGGTACACCATGAATGTCTTTATCATACATTAATGTAATTTCTCACACAGCACTTTTCTCTATAGGTATTATATTACATTTTGTCAAACTTAAAATTTAGGAACTGAATGACAAAATATAAATATTCAAAGTTTTGAATCTGAAGCTTCCTCCTTCTCCCCCGCCCACACTGGTGTATTATGTACACTGTAACCAACAGAGTTTTCTTGCAGTTTCATATATATGTCTTAATTGTGTGTGAAGTACCATAAACGTTTTTTTTAAGAAAGCAGCTGCATGGAAATATATTATTTTGTGTTATATTTCACTGCAGACTGAAAATTATCCTCTTCCACTCTTTGATTTATTTGTCCCATTATCACTTTTTGCTCTGGTTTTATCTCTATCATCCATAATTGCCCAGTACTATGTATCCTTCCCTACTTTTTCTCACCAGGAAGAAATATGGCAGAATCTTATTTATTAATAAAAAAGAGCTTGTGGAAGGAAGAAAATTAGAACAGCTCTTACCAGAAAGGTGATAAAACATTCACAGGATGGGTTAGGACAGATTGTAGCTTCTAACCTCTTGCCATGATGAAGGAAAAATGGAGGCAAGGTGGCACCGTCACAATTCCTGCTCGTGTCTCTCATTGCAGCTGCACAGCACAACACACAGCCCATCATAACTAAAATGAGCCCCTCTCTTACTAAGTAATCTAGGCCCCATCACTTGTAATTAGGAGAGTGACTTCAGCATAAGAGAATTTCCCCTAAATTCAGAGGTTTGATGATGATTCCTTGGGTGTCAGAAGAAAGGTAGCCACATGTAATATGTCTAATCTGGATTGCCTCACACTGAAGGCAAGTAAAGGAATAGCAGAGCCTACCAACTACCCGAAGAAACATGCCCCACTCCCCAAGTGCCAGCTGGGAAGCAGTAAGACAGAGGTCTAACCAATTTATCCATCTCAGCTCTTCGCTTATTTCAGATGTCAGAAAAAATGCAATTTGAGACCATCTCTGGAATCCTTCTCTTCAGCTTTGGGAAACCAACCTGCAACTGGATTTCCCAAAGTCAAATGAAAGCCACCTGACACATCACTCCCTTGCTGCCCCACCTAGTCTTAGAGAGGTGGCTCTCTGCCCTCCATACTTTAAGAAGGGAATTCTTTGGGAGCTATGATTCTCTGCAATCACGATTGTGTCCCACTAGTAAACAGATCAAATCCATCTCTATGTAGAGTTTCTGTATAATGACTATGCACCACTCTGGTCATCAAAACTATTTTTAATTGAAACTTCAGGAGGGCAAAGGTCTCTTGATAATCTTCTGCATAGGAGTGAACTTCACCCAGTTGTTTTAAGAAATAAGAAGAGGGCACTTTGATTTTAAATAAAACAATCTGATTTAAAGTCACTTCCCTAATCAGTTATGGCGTGGACTGAATGAAAAGAGATTCAAGGTCCTAACTCCATATGACGATGTGTTATGGCCATACTATGCACTAGTATTTTGGGTAAATCATTTTATTGCATAATCCTTCTGTTTTCTTTTTATATCACAGTTATGGGAAAACTTAAGTGTTTATAAAAATACTTTATTATAAATATACATGTATACAAACACATCTCAAAAAATTCTGTATGTCAGAAAATGTTCCTCCCTTTAGTCCTAGAGGTACCTACATTCTGCAAAAATTTAGTGTCCCATTAGTTTATTGGAAATTATTTACATCATACATAAAGGGTTATGAAACTGAAGTTATACAGAGTTATGCTAAATAGCTGAGTATCCACATTTCAAATGTCATGCAGGAATAATTTGAGTTTGTCCCTCATTTTGGATCTGTCACACTGTGTTTCATATTTGGGAACTGACAAATTAGAGGCACATGCAGGTGTATGAATATGTATGTGCACATGCGTGCACACACTTCAATAAAAATTAGTATTTTGAGACAAGTATTTTCCAGGGTTTAGGAAAAACTTCCTGAAATACTGCAGAGTACAAAGTTGTTAATTATCTGAAATTACTTGCATAATTTAATTTGAGATAATTGGCTTATGAAAGCGAAAGAAACAGGCACTAGCTTTAGACCAAGCACAATATAGGTTAGGGCAGTGAAAGCTTCTCCCCACTCCCTTGCAAATGTATTTCAATCCCAATTTTCAATGTTACTGCAATTCCACTCTTTTGCATCTGCAGAATGGAGATTACTGTCACTTAGGCTGAACTGTGTCAAAGGAGGTTGTGTTGTGATGTGTACATCAAAGGTATAAGAATGAAACTAAAAGTCATGTTTTACTTGTGATATAGGAAAGGACACAAATCTAGGTGTCTTGGGTTGCAAGGACCGGGCCAAAGCTTTCAGTAGAGCTAGCTCCCATTTACACACCCAAATAAAATTAGGAAATTGGGAGCTGTTGGATCCAGACCACTTTTGAAAATCCGAACCTTAGATAATTACTGCAAGTTTATGTTAACTATTAAAAATACACAACATTATGTAAGTAGACGCTCTTTCTTTAAAACATTGTAAACAGCTTCAAACTCTTATTTTTTAAAGAAAGATTCTCATAATATGCCTTAAAATATCAATCATGATAAAAAGCAAATACATTTGTATTAATAATGTATGCTTTTCTTAGATTTGAAACATACAATCTATTTTAATGTGTCTATGTTAAACGTTCTTGTGGTACCTGAAATACAATCCAAACTGAGCTATCTCAGCTATTTTTCTTCATCAATACCAAGTCTTCAAGTCATTCTTAATCCTCTATATTCCTACTGAATTTGAGAAACACTCTTCATTTCTTGCTTTTTCATCCCTGGTATATTTTACTGTGAAAGATTTGAGTTCAAATTCTTTTATATAGACTTGGAGCTTCACTGTGTGTAATACTCTGCTTCAAAGCTTTCCACACAGATAATTTAAAATTCAGTCTAAAATAAAGGACCTTATAATGACTACTTTGCAACCTAAAATTACATTGGCACTTATGTTTTCCCAGTGAACTAAAAATATTCTTTTGTGCTACAATGTGATATGGTTTCCACTTAGTTTGAGTGGTTTGTTTTGCTAGCTTTTTCCTCTTCTTCAAGTCCCCAGTTAGCTGTCATCCAAACGTATGCATGAGGATACATGTCAAACATACACGTGGAAGTACCCATTATTTTTCCCCTTTCAATATATTTTGTGGGGAATGGTGGCTAAGATCCTTCCATACTAGAGATATTTGATAAATATCACATTTTCCCATATAAATTCCTGTAGTTCACTCTTGTTCCTGCCCCTCTCACCACAAAAGACAGGACATGACGCTGAGATAGACACCAATGCTGATCTCACGAGATGACCCATGTCACAATACATTTACCCCTTACAATTTCACATAAGGACAGAGGCAAAATAGAGACTCAGAATCATGTCTTAAGCTGGTGTAAATTAATAAAAATTCTATTTTTATATTAGCACTGCACTACCCGGTCTTGTTACATTTTAGAGAAACCAATTTCCCAGCAACAATAGTTTCCATCCATCTATATAAAGTGCCTATCACCAAAGAAATTATCTAGAGTATTACAGCTCTACTTATAGTATTTTTCATGTATTTATCTACTCAGCTTAAACATAGTAGGAGGACATTTCAAAAGATTTTTAGAATAGACCTAAAAGCTTGTATTGCAACCACAAAGCCTCATTGTCAATATGGTCTAAACAGAAGAGGAGGATAAAGCATGCATAAGTTTCAGGAAGAAAAAGAAGCCTTACCAAAAGGAGGAGACTCTCTCCCATCCTCTAAGCCTGAATCTCGTTCCCTGTCTCTCTTTCTGTGTTTGTGTCCACGGTGTCTGTGACGTCGATGACTTTTTCTTCCACCCAGTGGCACATGAACTCCAATGAACAATGTTCGATGACCTACAAAGAAAGTTATGGTTTAAAAAGTGCACATGGCAAGATACAATGTCCTGTCATGATACTGAAATGTCACTGATGCACAATTCGTTGATACAAGAGAACATGCTAGTACTCAATATCTCATGCTACGTATATCAGATCGCCCAGAAATTTACATATAAAAGATACATTTGGAATATATTATAAATTAACTAACTAATAAATCTTCTTGATTTATATACTTAATACAATGACACTGATTTGTTCATTCTGGAGTTTTATGCAAGTTGAAGTGATGTACGCACCAAATCCTGCTAACGATTGATATATAGAACTCTTTGTGAAGTCAATGGAAATTTTGCCCCAAAAAATCATGACAGGATACAAAATGTATATAACAAAATCCCTCTGTTTCCATAATATACTGTATATGCTCTATTTACAAATAAATAATAAGTAGCTTAGACTGGTGTTATTTCTACTGGCATTTCATTTTAATGAATTTGCAATGTCCATCTGACAACTGCACCTATAGTCCTGGGCTGCTGAGCCTGTGGAATTTTGCTGATCAAGCCCCACAGATTCACAAATCTCAATTATCTGACAAAACAGAAGAATAGCACAGTAAATCATTTCAACGACAGATAATGTAGTATATTACATCAATCATGAAATGTGACAGAGATGGGAAAGAAACCTGTCAACTCTTACTAAACACTCTAGCCTCCTGAATTCACTTGCAACAAGAAATATTTTGGTAAGTGAATTTAGGAGGCTACTGTATGTAGTAAGCCATGACAGATTCCTTTCTTATGTTTGTGATATTTTGTAACACAAGTGATACACTGCCATCTTTGAAAAGATTTATTGTGCTATTATTCTGTTACATCCTATGAGTGAGGTAGTTAGGAAACTATGTTTTTTTCTCCGATTATTCACACCAAATGTGTTTTCTTTTCCTCTGGAAATGAAGATAACATAGCTAATGGATAATTCTGCTTTGCTGAAATCATTTAGCTGTGTCAATCATATGAAAAGGTCAAGTACATTAAGCTGCTGTAGCATGTGATCTCTAATCCCTTGGAGACTAGGGGCAGAAAACACAGTAAGGCATAATTTGTCACAGTATATGAAAGAAATTCAAGGCTGGCAGGAATTCTCTGCCGAGGAACAAATAAACAAGATGGAGGAAAACCTCTTTACACAGTATTAAAACATGGATTTATTTCTTTAATTTAGTTTCATATATAAATACATATACTGGACAATGTGGAAGAATTGTCATCGATTTAGGAAAATGTCCATGCATATTCATGGAATTTTCTGAAGTACAGCTATGATCTGAAAATGAGTATTTCTGAGATTTTTTTTCTTTTTTCCTCTTGTTTAATATAATGTTTTACTCCCAGAACAGGATTTACAATAAACTGGTGTTTTCAAAGTATCTCAAACCAGCTTCAATAAATAATGGATAAAATAAATAAAAATGTTGGGATAAAGATAATTTACAATAAACAACAACAAAAAATTACTTAATTTGATTTGGTAATTTAACCAACTTTTGTTACTTTGTGAAAGGGTTGGACAAAGCTTGTTTTAGTTTTGTGCCAGTTAACTATTAAGAGAAGGACTTGATCTGTGAAGATCACACTTCACTTTATTCTGAAGATTTAGGATGTGGGATTTGAATCCAGCCTTATCTCTATTAAATATGCTGGCAAATCAACACTAAAACTCTAACTGGCTGAACTGCCCAGTTATCCTCTTTATTATAGAAAAGAGTCCATTTGTATATGAAAAGGACTTAGGAAACTGGAAAAACTGAGGGAAAATAACAAGAAAACAAGATAAGGACCACATTCACATTTGTTTTAAGGTTGTGATCTTTCTCAGGGATACTCACACCTGTACTCACCACCATCATCAGAGATAAAGGAGGGACAAGCAGAATCAAATCAGTATCTTAGATGTCTGCATACAAATGCAAGCAGTATGAGGATTAAGCAGGAAGAACATGAAGTGCTATTAGGTAAACACAATTGACACAGAGACTTGGTGGGATAATACACAATAGGAATATTGGTATTGAAGGATACAGATTGCTCAGGAAGAATAGGCAAGGAAAAAGGGAGGAGGTGTTGCCTTATAATAAAAATATATACACTTGGACTGAGGATGCGATGGACATAGGAGACAGATTTGTTGAGAGTCTCAGGGTTAGTTTAAAAGGGGTAAAAAACAAGGGTGATGACATCCTAGGGGTCTACTACAGGCCACCTAACCAGGCAAAAGAGGTGGATAAGGCTTCATTAAACACCAAAATCATCCAAAGCACAGAACTTGGTGGTGATGGGGGACTTCAACTATCCAGACATATGTTGGGAAACTAACACAGCAAGGTACAGACTATCCAATAAGTTCTTGGACTGCATTTGGAAACAATTTTTTTATTTCAGAAAGTTCAGAAAGCTACTAGGGGGAAGCTGTTCTAGATTTGATTTTAACAAATAGGGAAGGACTGACTGAGAATTTGAAAGAGAAGGCAGCTTGGATGAAAATGATCATGAAGTCATAGGCTACGTCTACATTGGCCCCTTCTCCGGAAGAGGCATGTTAGTTTCCAACTTCAGAATAGGGAAATCCGCGGGGGATTTAAATATCCCCCGTGGGATTTAAATAAACATGGCCGCCGCTTTTTTCCCGGCTTGGGGAAAAGCCGGAAAAAAGCGTCTAGACTGGCGCGATCCTCTGGAATAAAGCCCTTTTCCAGAGGATCTCTTATTCCTACTTTGACAGGATAGCAAGCCTTGTGGATAAAGGGGAAGTGGTGGACATGGTATACCTAGACTTCAGTAAAGCATTTTATACAGTCTTCCATGACCTTATCAATAAACTAGGGAAATACAACCTAGATGAGGCTACTATACGGTGGGTGCATAACTGGCTGGATAACCATTCTGAGGGTGTCTCTACACAGCAAAGTTATTTTGGAATAATGGATGTTATTGCTAAATAACTATGCGAGCATCTACTCAGCAATTCCGTTATTTTGAAATAATTTTGAAATAATGGACAGCTTATTCTAGCTTCTGTAAATCTCATTCTAGAAAGAATAACTCCTATTTTGAAATAATTATTTCAAAATAAGGCATGTGTAGACGCTCCGCTGTTACTATTTCAAAATAGCCCCTCATCAGAGCCATTCTAAATTATTCCTCCTGAGGCTCTAAATCAAGATAGAATGTCTACATTAGCAAAGCCTGCCTCAAACCAATTTTGAGGCTTCCCTGCAGTGTTATTTCAAAAAAAAAGATGCTTTGGAATAACTATTCCAGATTAGATTATTCCAAAATAACTGTGCAGTGTCGATGTAGCCTCAGAGAGTAGTTATTAATAGTTCAGAGTCGTGCCTGAAGAGCATAACAAATGGGGTTCTGCAGGGAACCAGTTTGGGGACTGGTTCTACTCAATATCTTCATCAACAATTTAAATAATGGCATAGAGCATACGCTTATTAAGTTTGCAGATTATACCAAGTTGAGAGTGGTTGCAAGTGCTTTGGAGGATAGGGTCAGAATTCAAAATGATCTAGACAAACTGGAGAAATTGTCAGAGGGAAACAGGATGAAGTTTAATAAGGACAGATCCAAAGTACTCCACTTAAGAAGGAACAATCAGTTTCACGCTAAAGGAGTACAGCAGAAAGAGATCTAGGGGTCATAGTGTACCACAAGCTAAATATGAGTCAACAGTGTGACACTTTTGAAAAGACACAAACATGATTCTGGGAGGCATTAACAGGAGTGTTGTGATCAAGATACAAGAAGTAATTCTTCCCTCTACTCTGCACTGATTAGGCCTCAGTTGGAGTATTTTGTCCAGTTCTGGGCACCACACTTCAAGAATGATGTGAAGAAATTGGAGAAGGTCCAGGGAAGAGCAACAAAAATGATTAACGGTCTAGAAAGCATGACATATGAGGGAAGACTAAAAGAATTGGGTTTGTTTAGTTTGGAACAGAGAAGACAGAGGGGACATGATAGCAGTCTTCAAGTACGTAAAAGGGCGCAAGAAGAAGAAGGGAGAAAAATTGTTCTCTTTGACCTATAACGATAGTATAAGAACCAATGGGTTTAAATTGCAACAAGGGAGATTTAGTTTAGACTTCAGGAAAAACTTCCTGTCGGGGTGGTTAAACACTGGAATAAATTGCCTAGGGAGGTCATGGACTCTCCATCACTAGAGATATTTAAGAGCAGATTAGATAGGCATCTTTCAGGGATGATTAGATGGTGCTTGATCCTGCTGTTAGGGCAGGGGACTGAACTTGAGCTCTTGAGGTTCCTTCCATTTCTAGTGTATTCTATCATAGATCCTATGATCACAACAACCCATGAACCAAACTTGCTGTAGCTCAGTTAACAGCTTCAACAGATACATAGGTAGAGGGAAGAATTACTTCTTGTATCTTGATCACAACACTCCTGTTAATGCATCCCAGAATAACATGACTCCTACTTTAAAACATGATTTCAATACAAAAGTCACAGAATTGACTTTTAGGACTGGAGGGGACCTTGAGAAGTCATCTAATCCAGTCCCCTGACCTCACGGCAGGAGTGTTAGCTAGACCATCTCTGACAAGGGATATTGTACACTCCTAAATCTCTCCAGTGATGGATATTCTGCAACAGGGGTGCACAAAATGCAGCCTACAAGCCAGACGTAGCTTGCCAAAGCTTCCAATCTGGCCTGCCACGATCCTCTGAGACACCAATGTTCCATGGCTCAGTGGGAGCCCTGCCTGCCGCACCCCTCACACCACTCAAACCCTGTGTGATTCTATGTTGTGTGCCCCATGGCCTGGAGTGGCTCCCTGCACTGCCCCTGCCTCCAGCACAACCCTTGCAACTCCCAGTGGTGGCATAGAGACACATAGGCTGGCCCCAGCAGTCAGCCATGTTGAAAGGCTGAGCAGGCAAGGAGCCTGCTCCAGCATCCCACTGGGCTGCTGGCCAGGA